TCAGAATACACATCACAGAAGTCACAAAAAAGGCGGTGCACCCCCCCAACGTCACTCTAGTGACTCTACGCGGCCACGCGCGGTCCACACGTCGGAACTCTCAGGATCGGCGCGCACGAAGTCCTGGTGAAGCCCCGTGCAGGCGACGTCCGGTCGACCGAAGGGTCGGGGACCGCGGGAGGAACTGGAGGAACGGAACGGCAGAAACGAACGAAGGTGGGCGAGGAGGAGGTAGACGTTCGAAAGAGCGGTGGGAAGTGTTTTGATGTCTTGGAAAGTGGCACCTGTCGTCACTAGACCATAGAATGGCACATCATCCATGCCTTCATCGATGTTTGCTGTCAGTGAGAGCCCTCCCCCAACGTTTGACCTCCTTTTCAGGGCCACGGTGCCCAACGGGTGGCCCAGCTGCGGTTCCCCCCAGCCACCAGTAGCCACACAGGTGGCTACACACGAGCGCGCCAGGTGGCCTCGGCTCCTCGGACTTCGGACTGGGCACCGAATTGCTGGACGGCATCGACCCGGAGGCGTTGCTGGGTGCGAAGGGGGCGATGAAGGGTAAGACTTGCTCGCGGAAGGGAAGCTGCAATGAAGAAGGAAGGTAAGCAGAATATGGTATTTGGCAAATGGATTGGATTTTGACCCCAGAAGATTTCTAGTAACAATGCCAATGCTGTTTTTCGATGCAGAATGCAGTGATGCAGGAGTTGGAACGCAAGCAGACTGTTGAGCGCAACAACGGCCACTTGGTGCTGATCAAACTGCGGATGGCGGAAAAAACGCAGTTCCTGGCTTCCGCGGGAACCGCGCGTTGCTATGTTTTACCACGTTTTACCTACTCCGCAAGGAGACTCAAGGATCCCTCATTTTGAGATATCACGAATGCATCTACATGCCTCATACCAGCACATGGTGAGCAGACAGGCTGAGCTCCACCTTGGCTCTGTGACCCAAGGCCGATTGGCGATGGTTGCGATCATGGGACTCATGGTGCAGGATCGGATGTGACGCTGTTTGCAATGAAACTCAAAACCATTCAAAACCCATACTGCTCGTATTTCGCTGTGGCGTTCATGACTTGGTCACACGAAAGACATGCGGCGAACACAGACCTTCCGTGAACCGACCCCTCGCAGCCCCAACCACCCAGGCCACACCCCACAAAAACGGTGTTTGGCTCAAGGCGACAACCCTGTTGAAGCTCCGGTTTGGCCCCATCATTGCCTCAGCTCCCGTCAGCTAGCAGAACCCATGGCGGAAGGTCGTGTCTACAACTTCTCCGCGGGGCCCTCGGCGATGCCTTTGGAGGTGCTGGAAGAGGTCCAGCGAGAAATGGTGAACTACAAGGGCTCGGGGATGAGCGTGATGGAAATGTCCCATCGGTCGAAGGAGTTCATGGCCATTGCGGCTGAGGCGGAGAAGAACTTGAGGGATATCTTCGCAGTTCCCAGCGATTACAAGGTGCTCATGATGCAGGGAGGCGCCACTCTGCAATTCTCAAGCATCCCATTGAACATGTTGGGAAGCAAGACCAAGGCCGATTACCTCGTCACGGGACAATGGGGTGAGAAGGCTCACAAGGAGTGCAACAAATATGGCACTGGCCAGTTGGCCTGCAATACCAAGAGCACCAAGTTCACCACCATTCCTCCCAAGTCGGAGTGGAAGTTGGACGCCGAGGCTGCATATGTGCACTACTGTGCCAATGAGACAGTGAACGGCGTTGAGTTCAGTTACACACCTGAGGTGGGTGAGGTGCCACTGGTGGCTGACATGTCATCCAACTTTTGCTCCAAGCCGATCGAGGTGAGCAAGCATGCTTTCATTTATGCGGGGATTCAGAAGAATTTGGGTCCCGCTGGCATGTCTGTGGGGTTTCTTCGCCCAGACTTTGCTGATGGAAGCAAGGAGTCGAAGATTTGCCCAACCTATTGCAGCTTCAAGACCACCGGGGACAATGGCTCCATGTACAACACGCCTGCATGCTTCACCTTGTACGTCATGGGCGAATACCTGAAGTACACCAAAAAGGTGGGTGGCCTTGCCTACTGGGCCGAGATGTCCGATAAGAAGAGCAACTTGCTCTATGGCACCATCGACGGCTCCAGCGGCTTTTACAATTGCCCGGTGGAGAAGAGTGCCAGGCTGGGCTGCCCCGTTCGACACTCGTACGTCAACAGGCTGGGGAACCTCTCAAGCTAGCTGTGGTTGAGGGCATCACCGCCTTGGGCAGACTCACAACAAGGGAATTCAATAAGAGAGGAATATTTTTGATAACGATCTGAAGATCCAAGTTAATCCAAGTGAGTATTCCAAGTGTCTCTTGGAGCCCAGGTCAAACCCGCCTAAGACCGTGGTCAGGTCTCGCATGAATGTGCCCTTCACCATCAATGGAGGTGACGAGGCAATGGAGAAGAAGTTTCTGGACGAGGCCAAGAAGCATAAGCTCTACACTTTGGCAGGCGGGCGGGAACACTCAATTGACTCAATTTGTAACTCCAACTTCAAGAGATTTCCGAATGCTCAATCCGACCTCCTGACCTCCTGACCTTGCATATCTCTTGGTCAAAATCTCTTGGTCAAAAATCATCATGGTCCATGTAAGTCCATGTATATACTGTAAGTCCATGGAGGGCGACGCCGGACTCGGCGCCGTTGTTTCAGGCCATCGCTCCGTGGGCGGTTGCCGAGCGTCCTTGTACAACGGACTGCCTCTGGAGGGTGTGGCCAAGCTCACCGACTTCATGAAGTCCTTCATGGATGAGAACCGAAAGTGAGTCTTCTGTGAGTCGTTTGTGGGTTTTCACTCTTCAGAAATCAGGGGGTGACTTTGTCAGATGCGAGGCAGTGGCGCGGCGTTCATGCACCAGTGGTTTCAGAAGTTTGGTAACCTGGAGGGTTTCTCAAACTTTATTTGGAGCTAATCCCACAGATGGATTGGGCTCTTCTTCAGTTTTGACATGTTTTGACGCTTCGCAGCGACCCTTCGAAAGAAAAACATCCCACAGTCCAGTGGTGTTTGTGGCTTGTCAGTGAAGTCCAGTGTTGGCACCTGCAGATCTCACTGAGTAGCTTCTCGTGCCTTTGATGGACTGTTACAATGAGCTCACAAAATCATGGATTTTCATTAATCAAATGAATCAAATCTTTCACTCAAGTGCAAAACTTCCTTGACACAACGGTGGGACAAACAAGGCAGGGACACACCGGTCCGCCATCCTTGGTTGCCGGGGAGCCATTCGTGCTGCAGGATGGCATGTTCGGAGAGCCTCCTTTGAGCTACATGTCCAAGAACGGCTGGTGGGGTGAGCCGGTCCAATGGTACGTCCAGCACATCAACAACTGCCAGTGCCTGGGCAGGTGAAGGCCACAATGAAAAGCACCTGCTGCTCCGAGCGCAAAACAAGAATATTTTCACTCAGTCACGGGGAGAACATGTTGCTGTTGGCGGTTCCTGTCTTTGCTTTGAACAGCGGCTGTTCATAGAAGAGCTGCGGCAGTCTTTTCATGGTTCCAAGTCATATCAGGGGGTTCTAAAGTGCATCCCTCCTCAACACCTTTTGGAGTGGGACTTCAGCCACCCGTGATCAATGTCGCCCCAGCCAGCCAGCCAGCCAGCCTTGGATCAGGTCCTTCACTGGCGCCGTGGTGGACAATGCCGCTGTCTGCGCTTTGCCACGCCGCACCGGCCGAACCACGCTCCGTGCTGGCACCAAGTTGAGCGAGGGGCCATTCATTGAGACTGAGACCTACCCAAAGGAGAGGGGTGCCGCTGAGAATTCCCACCGTTCAAGAGTTCAAGACATTCCTTACGATCTTGCAGTCTGCTAACGCATCGAGCGAAAGACACCCACCAACTTCTGACATGGGGTGTGAATTGCTTGGAGCTTGTTGTGAGCAGTGGCCTTGCAAGGACATTTGAAGAGATGTCGTCATTTCGCGTATTCTTGGCAGGGGGTTGCCCACCCCCTCAGTGTAGCTCAAAGTTTTGGGGTCCTGAAAGACGGTTTGTCGAAGATTTGCCTCTCAACATGTGGAGGCAGGGCCTTAGGCCCTGGTAGGCACTCTTCTTCTTCCATGGAAAGAGCTATAGAATCTTATAGAAGCTTGAAACAAACATCCTGAAAAAAAGTCTCAACCAGGTGCTTAGCAGCTTAGCATGTATCCCGAGAAAGCATCTTTTCAACACAGGAGATGGAGATGTCAGCTTCTGTGCCCTTCCTGCGCTACCCACAGGCTCCGGAGCCTGTGTGGTCATGGACCATGTCCCGAAAAGAAAAGACTGGAATTTGTAGCAAGCAAAGCACAGCTGCAAGCGGCCAACACTTGTGAGGTTCCATCAACCTCCGTTCGATATTCAGCTCTATGGGAACCTGTTGGATGAACACCTTGATATTGATATGTGATTGCAGCGGTGCAACAATGGGAAGGGTTGACCACATCAGCCAACCAGTTGTTGACAACAATAGAACACAAACGAACAATACCTTCTTTGGAACACCAACTGGTTCTATTTCAACACTTCAACACCTGTCAACGATTTGCCTGGCGCGCCTGGCGCCAGGTGTTGAAGGGCTGGGTCGGTGAGGAGAAGGGCTTCGACCCTTTGGGCGTCACCGACGCTCTCCCCGTCTATTGGGTGCGTGAAGCGGAGCTCAAGCACGGACGCGTCTGCATGCTGGCCACCGTAGGCGTGGTGTTGGACGACCGCTGTGAGATCGTCTTGGGATAGATTGGGGTGGGTTCATGGTGGTTCCAAAGTTGGGAAGGAGACTTAGGAGCGATTTTTGGATGTGCCATTGACTTGCAGGCTCCTGGCTTCATTGCATGTAGCAGCCAGCATCTTTTTCATCTCGGTCGGTTTTTTCGGAACGCTTCATCTCGGTCTGTGGCTTGGGGTGCCGATCGATGCCAATCCAGGACTCATTTGTCACCATGTGTCGATGCAAACTCTGGAACATAACAGACCGGTTGGCTTCCTAGTCCTAGTCATTAACAGGACGCCTCCAAAACAATGTGATGACAGAGTCTTAGATGACGTGTTGGGAGAGAGCTCTTAGATGGTCTGTGTCAGACGGTCATGTGGACCCTTAGACCCTTAGACTCCTACGACAGAGATTTACTTCCCACGTGAGGGATGGTCAAAATATGTCAGAATTGAGTCTTGAACCTTCGCAATGAAGTCATGCAACATCGCAGCTGGCAAACCAAACATGATTGAGCAAGGGAGCTGTTTATACTTCAATCTCATTCAACTTAGACGCTAGACCAAGTAGCAGAAACTTACATACTATAGTGCAGTAAGATGCTTTTGTGCAACCAGACTTCATCGAAGTGCTGGTGCTGGTCTGCAGCGGAACCGCGTTTGGCAGGCTGGATTGCCACCGACATGGGCTTCCGCTTCCCAGGCGACAAGTTCCAGGCCGTGTCCAATGCCTTTGAGGCCAGAATGACTGACTGGTGCAACTTGTAGGGAATAAGGGAAGCTTCTCTCCCAATAGAGATTCCTTTGGATCCAGCCACCCTCATTCGCTACAAGTCGCACAAATCAGACGAAGAACGATTGGGCAATTTTTCCATTTCACGGTCCAGTCGGGCCAGCAGAAACCAGTCCAGAATGGACACCGGAAAACGGAAAGCGTGAGGAAAGAGATACCAGAAACATGCAGCAAGGTATGGATTCGACTTCTTCCCAAGATTTCACATCCTCAACTGTTTAGGATGACATTGGTCGGCCCATGGACCTTTGCAGTGTTTCGAGCCCGTCTTCTGTGTTGAGCAAGGAAGGAAGTAGAATATGTAGAACGAACGGACCCGCTGTACAGACATGATCTTGCTTTCAGTTGAACATCACTTTTGGTGTGACTATAGATCAACTTATCAGCAGGTATACCAGGTGATATACTATTGTCATACAATGTCACCCTTTGGATATTCAGGCTCACGACAAAATGGTGGAAGCTGGATACATGCTTCCTTTCCTTGGAGCTATTGGCACCGTCGAGCTTTACGACTCTTGGCGGGAAGGGACGTGGATCGATTTGGGTATCGGGTGCCCCTCTAAACGCACCGACTTGGTGACAATTACCCTCGCCTAAACTAGCATGCACCAGAAGAAAGTCATGAATTTCTATGGATGTGTAGGGCGTATGGCTTGGATGGTCTGCTTCCACACTGCTGGACAGTTCGAGTAGGAGAGGCCTTTGTGCGACCCGTTTCCGTTTTTGACTGATACAGTGTTGGTTATGGGCCTCTCAGCCATTCGCACATCATTTTTGATTTGGGTGGATCAATTGCAAGCAAGACGTCACTTCCAAGCAGTTCATATCCTAGTCTCCCTTCTGTGCCCAGTCCGGATGGCTCCTCTACCAGGGCTGGTTGAAGGAGGCTCGCAGAATTGCGAGGAAAGCTACTCACAATGACAAGAAACGACCCAAATGAGCGGAAACAGTGTAGGCTTTGCATGTTTTGCATGTAAAAACTGGTTGGTCAATGTTGGTCATTTTTTCGAGTTGAACAGGACTTTGTGATTCATGACTCATGACGTTAAGCACACGCAGGTGAACCGTGATGCTGGGGACTTCTTTGTCGGCAAGAATTTCTTGCCCAAGGACGATCCGCGGTGGTGGACGGCGGGATTTATTGGCCAGGGGCCACACTTTTCATGCTTTCTCAACCAGAAAACTATTTTTTAAAACACATATTTCAATACCATTAAATACCGCCTTCTTTTTCCTCAAAGTGTGAAGATTTTACCAGCGGACTTGATGCTCAAGCCAGGAGCCTGCGAAGGAGAAGGACATGCGCTTGAAGGAGCTGGGAACAGCTGTTTACTCTTTGCAAACCGAATTAAGACTACCCAGACTACCCAGATGGATGTGAAGAATCAGGGCACAAGGGAGTTCGTGATCTTCCCAGACCCAGAGAGTTGCAAGGGACGGGAGTGCTCCAGCAACCCGACAGGTTTTGAGGTGCGGAGGTTTCAATCCAGAAGTGGAACTCTTCATACATCTTGAAAGTTGTTTGATGTTATTTGTTAAGAGTCATGAGGCACTTTGTTCCAGAAGGCGTGTATCGGATCTCACGTTGTTATATTGTAAGGGCTCCGCCCGGGTGCCGCCGACCCCTTTTCATCTCGAGGGTTTGGCGGTTGAACCTTGACAACTTCCTGGGATTCAACAGCGAGACTTGGATGGGCTTCACACCAATGCTGGCATTCAACCTGCCGAGAAGAGGGCAAGGCTGCGGTGAGGCTCTGGGGAGCGTTTGAAGCCGAGCCAAAATGCCTAACGTTGCCTTCGGAAGCCCATAAGAAGAGAGGAGG